AATTATGTACCAAAGAAACTCACCAATTCCTGTTTGAATTATGGGAGTCAAAATGTAAAAAAGAGGAAGAAAATCTCGGAATATCTTGGAAAGCAAGATAACCTGGTTAAAAGCATTACCAAGTAAAGAAAAATTGGAAAATGAGACAAAAACAAAAAATACAGTCCAAACTCACAAAAAACCCCAATACCCAACACAAAACAATCATCAGCAAATACAGAGAAAACCACCCAACAGAGTCAAAAACCCGAATCCCTACCCACCCCACACACAAACAGACCCACAAGGTAAGCACTCTAACACATTCTACCATACGCAAATACATCCACAAACAAACTCACAAAGTAATTATCCTAACACATTCTACTACACGCAAACACATACACAAAGCAGGAACCCCAATACATACCACCACCACACGCATTCACACCCACATAAAAAATACAATTATGAACATACACTGAACAGCGCAAAAATAAACCTGTACAGACCACCACACCATAACACAAACAGTCAAAGATCAGAACACACACACATTCACACAACCAACTCTTACAAATACCACCTAGCACAACAAACCAAACCAGGCAACCATTACCTATATCCAGGAGTACAACCAGAATTTCACAAAAAGTTCTACACACAATCCACATACAATCAATACAAAACAACAAACCAAGGAACATCTGGAACAGGCCCCTAACAAAAAACCAACACACCTATATAGAGCCATCGAGAAACAACAACCCCAATTTTACCAAGGGAAACTCTCACTGGCTAGAAAACTCAAAATGTACAGGAAGAAGGTATCTCTTAGAAAACCCAAGATATATTAAAAGAAACAATCATTATTTTTTAGAAGCCCCAGTCCGAACAAGAAAACCAGTTTAGATGACACAAAACCCAAAATAATAAACCTATCTACATATACACTTACAAATGACGAAATCAACCTACTGAAATTGGGCCTAAAATTCTGCCCTGCTCCTAAAAGCAATATAGTAGACTTAAAAAAAAAACTTAAGGAATTTGAACGCAAACTGAGACTAAGAGAAATATTTAACAATGGCGAAAATATTAAAGATGAGTCACTGGTAAAAAACAAATCCAATTTATTTCCAAACAAAAATAACAATACCAATGAGCTAAATATATTTTTTGAAAAACTCTGGAAACTTGACCTACAGGAAAAATCCAAACCATTCGACAACCTCACATATAGACAAAGACTAGCCTTAGAGAACATTCGAAAAAATAATAACATAATTATAAAAGAAGCAGATAAAGGTAGCGCTATAGTAATCATGGACAGAACATACTATAAAACAAAAATTCTAGAAACACTAGAGGATAGGAACAGCTACAAAGTAATTGACACTAACATAGACAAAAAACATTATAACAAAAAATTACAAAACTCTGCACAACACATAATAAAATATTAACAAAAAAAAAGAAGGATTTCCTAATAAACTTTTGTACCAAAAAACAAGTAATTTCTACGGACTACCTAAAGTTCATAAATCGAGTGAAATAAAAGCAGCTATATATACAAAAAATCTGAATACATTAGCATCCCAAACCCCAGTGACCTTACATTCAGACCCATAGTAGCAGGACCAGTCTGTCCCACTAGCAAACTCAGTAACCTAATAGACATAATATTGCAACCATATACTAAACAAATTAAAAGCCACATCAGAGACGATATCCATTTCCTTAGCTGCATACCACAAAAGGTAGATCCGGGAACGCTTATGGCAACTTTTGACATCAGTAGCCTATACAGTAACATACCCCATGAACTAGGGAAAAAAAAGCGATCTCATTCTGGATTGAAAAACATCCAGAAATACTACATCCGAGATTCACTAAAGAGTTCATTATCGATAGTATAGACCTAATTCTAAACAATAACACCTTTGAATTTGACAACAAAAAACTATATCCAAACCCTAGGTACTGCGATGGGAACAAAATGGCACCAACATATGCCACCCTAACATTAGCTTACCTAGAAGAAAACCTCTATGAAAAGATAGAACAAATATATGGGACAAATGTAAAGACCCAATTCACTAAATCTTGGAAAAGATATCTAGATGATTGCTTCATCTTTTGGAAATCATCATGGGGTGATATTAACCAATTCCATACACTACTTCAAAACTTACACCCAAAAAATCAAATTCACGCAAGAATATAATTTTAACGAATAACCATTTTAGATATACTCATTAGAAATAAAAACAACCACATAATCACAGATATCTACCACAAACCCACAGACACCCAACAATACGTTCATTTCAAGAGCCATCACCCAAAAAGCTGCCTAAAATCCATCCCCTATTCACTAGCACGTAGAATTTGTACAATAGTGACTGATAAACATCTCCGAAAAATCCGCTTAGAAGAACTACATAAAACTCTCAAGAAACGAGGCTACCCCACAACACTAATAAACAAAGGTATTGAACTCGCGAAAGAAATTCCTCTAGACCAACTTAGAAATAAAAAGAAACGTAACGTCGAACAAACTCTAGCATATGTCTCAACGTACAACAAAAACAACCCAGAAATATTCCCAGAAATATTCCCAGAAATCACAAAAATCTAGATTTACTTAGCAAGAATAATAAACTGAATAATATACTAAAAACAACCAAAATAATTAAGAGCAAACGCCAATCTAGAAACCTAAAACACATATTAACCTCATCTAAATTTAGTCAACACAAAATACAGGAGTCACAAAATGCAACAAAAAAAAGATGTGGAGTTTGTGACATCATTATAGAAGGAAACTCCTACACTTTTGAAAACCCAAAAAAACATTCACAATAAACAAAAAACTTAAACTGCAACTCCCAAAATGTAGTTTATGCACTTAAATGCACAAAATGTAAGAAGTCATATATAGGCATCAGCCAACAACTGAACAACAGGGTCTCCCTACACAAAAAGCAATATAAAATTGACAGACAACAGAAAACTTTTTTGTATCACAACACATTTTTTCAAATGTAACCAGGGTAAGTTTAATCATGCCGATATATCAAACAGACAATTACTCGTATCTACAAATACAGGAAAAAACTTTATAGACAAATTCAAACCCGAACTGAATAGATCGTAAACCCCCCCAAAAAAAAAAAAACATGCACACAGGGTGACCAAATACAATGATCGCTCACATACATGGACGCACACTCATATACAGGAGACACGAGGAGATATATATATGTATGTACACATACATACATTTATATATGTATATGCGGATGTTGACAACTTAAAATACGTGTGTGTGTGTGTGTGTGTGTATGTATATGTGTGTGTGTGTGTACTGGTTCCATGTAGCTTGGGAAATATGTGTGTATATGTGTGTGTGTACTGACTACTTGTGGTGGGATGGTGTGTATGTGCGTATGTGTGTGTATGCGTGTATAAGTACAAATAAGTTTACGAATTCCTCGTAGTAAGGAAATATACGCACGCATATATACACGCATGCTGACAGGAACACGCCAAAATAGAAACAGATCCAAGAGCACATAGAGGTCACTAAAACATTAAAAGATTAAATGCCGATAGCTACTCGCTGGACAAACCTTAATTGTTTTATGACCCTTCACGCAGAACTCTTCATTGACAATTCTAGAAAGAAAATTCGGATTGCCAACACACAAACAGAATGTCTCATATCGAGAATATTCCACATTGAACATGAAGAAAAATTAATTATTTTTAATAATATGTAAAAATCTCCACTTTCACCTGAAGACGGTTGCGAGACCAGACCAGAAACACGTGTCGTGAAATTATGTAAAACAAAGTATAATATTTTTTCTCAATAAATCCATATTACAACCAAAAACGTTTGCGGCACCCCTCTTCTTTTTAATATACATACTTTTCTCTCGTTGGAACCACTACAACATATTTCTTTTATATATATATATATATAATGTATTTATTTTTGATCTGACATTTTTATTACTCCAAAAGTTATTAGAGTAGCTACTCATATTTGAAATAGTCATCCATTTTTACTTTTTTTAAGCAGTATGTATTCCATCTATTGGCCTGCATATTCAAGAAATTCCAATAAAGAAATTGTGTTCTCTGACAGGGATTGACCTGGTATTGTCCTTTATCAAATTAAACACTTTTTGATGCACCTGGTTAAATAGATATAATATATTTGCATACACACTCCTAAACACACTGTGTTTCAATATGTAACTTTTGAATTCTTTCAAATTCAAGGTACGATCATACATGTGTTGAGTTCAAATTCTATCCATTCTATTGTATTTATTTTTACACTAATTCCCTTGGTAAAGGCATGAGTAAATCTCTTTTCCCTGTCCTAGTTAGAGGTTAAATGCCAAGGAAGATTGGGTTATCTAACCTTGCTTGTTAGCCAGTCAAGGAGGAGGAGGAGTACTCTGAATTAAAGACTGTGTGGAAGGCAATAAAAACCTACTCCACTGTTTTTTGTAAGATGTTATAACAGTTTGTAGATAATAAAAAATGAGTCTGTGAAGAGGCATGGTCATTTATGTCACATAGAAACATAATATTTAACAAAAGAGGAAAAAAAAAATACTGAATTAAAAATTTGTGGATCATCTGAATGTGCGTTTGGCTTTTGAATTAACCAAACCAGGTTCAAATGTGTTTTGTTTTTTTAAACAGTTTTTTTTAACAGTTTTTTTTTTACCTCATTCATTCTTTCATTCATTCATCTCTTCATGGATTCTTTCTGAATGAAACTCAAGCAATAACATGTCAGTTAGACTTGCAAGCATTTTGTAATAAGAAAAGTAACTGCACACACACACAATAATTGTTATATTGCAATTTTTTTACTTTCATTCTAATAATGCCAAATTAATGTATTTCTGGACTGACAGAACAATTGATGTTATTTTGATTAATGGTGAATATATGTCTGTTATGTTGTTTTCTTTTATTCCCATGTCCTTTTTAAGTACTGATATCTATCTATCTATCTATCTATCTATCTATCTATCTATCTATCTATCTGTCTGTCTGTCTATCTATCTATCTATCTATCTATCTATCTCATTGTGTTTCTATATATCTATCAATCTAATTATGTTCCTACCTATCTAGTTAGCTATCATGTTAAGTTCCTGTCTATCTATCTATCTATCTATCTATCTAATTATGTTTCTATATATCTATCAATCTAATTATGTTTCTACCTATCTATCGAGTTAGCTATCATGTTATGTTTGTATCTATCTATCTATCTATCTATCTATCTATCTATCTATCTTTGTCTGTTCATATCCTGCTTCTTTTCCAGTCTGTTCACATCTCTCTCTCTCTCTCTATATATATATATATATATATATATATATTTTTTTTTTTTTTTTTTCTTCTTTCTTTTGTTTTCTTTGTTGGGAGGAATATTTATGAACAAAGTTTGTGCTTTCAAATATAAAAGTGGTGAATTGCCAAGTCCAAGAAATTCACTTCAGAAAAACCCAGCAATCAAAAATGAAGAATGGGATGGCGTGGAGGCAGTCAGTTCCATACTTCTCCATACCAAAGTTTTTAACCATCATTTTTCAATTTATTTTAATTTTTCTGAATGAAAAAGGAAACAAAGCAGGACATGTCCAATAATAATAATAATAATAATAATGATGGAAAACAGCTTCTGGATTGTGGGATGGGGAGTAACATTATGCATATGTCCTTTTGTTAATTGGTTGCAAGAAAGAAGAGAGAGAGAAAAGTACAAAATTAGTCGTTCATTGAATGCAACGTAATGGACAAGGTCTTTTTAAAATTGAAGTCAATTCATTAGGTTTCATTGAAGGAGAGGGAGGAAAAGATGCAAAGTTTATTCAAGAAATAACTTCCGAAAAAAAAAAAATTCCAAGCAAAGAAAAATAAAGAATGGACAGTGAAATGAAAATACACCCTCTGACATCCTGCATATGGTTATTATTAACATTATTGTTGTCATACTATTGAATCACAATGAATAGCTTGGTTGGTTCTCGGGGACCTGGTGGTTACTGTTAGCTACATCTGGATCAATAGAAATGGCAGTGGTCTTTCTTGTTAAAGAAACTGGTTTCATAACTTTTTCAAGCCATTTTTAGACATCTTTTTAATTAATGTTATTATTGTCTTTACACTGGCATTATCTGGAGGTGCAGCTGGTGTAATGGATATAAGTGCTGAAAGTTCAATTCTTGATTGATTCTGTTTTGTTTACTTCATGCCAATGCCCTTTGAAAAGGCATGAATTCATTTTCTTCCAGGTAGGGGTTTAATAGCAGGATAGGCTAGGCTTTCTTACCATGAGATGACAATCAGTCTAGGAGTAAGAAAGCTCTGAATTCAGAACCAGCCTGAAGAGGGATAGGCTCCGTCAGGCTATATCTTACCCTAGACAGACCACTGCTGCTATGGCTGCAATAAATATGGTGCCTCTACAACCCTTGAGTTACACGACATACAAACACATACATATGTACTAGCGTTATCTGCTGGATTCCACTGGGGATCAAAGGTCTGAATACCTCCCCAAAAACTCGGATGGTTTCCATTCTCAATTTACTTGTTGTTGGGTGCTGTGATAGATTCCATTTCTTTTTAGAATAACCGACTGGCACTACAGAATCACAAAGAAGCGTACCAAATAACAGACACATAGGACTTTCAACAATTAAAATGTGTTACTTGAAGAAAAAAAAATGACATTATCAAGGTGTTGATATTCTACACTACTTCAAACAAACGTTCAGGAAGGAAACTCCCATTAATACTAGAAAGAACGATGACAGTTACAAGATCTGAGAAGCCTATTTCCCTGAAAAATTGTTTTAGTAGAAAGATTTGAAAAATTTCAACTGAGGGTAGCACTTGCTGCCTGGTCAAAGAATGTCAAATTTTCCCTTATAAAGAATATAAAGAAGTTGCTAATTGTTGTAATCTAGAAAAAGGTTACTGAATGAGGAATAACCAAAATCGAGGTTGAAAAGGAAATGGTAATCTTTATAAAATCAACAAAATATAATACTCGCCAGCAGCTAGTGGTGGACTACTTAGACAGCATATTATCCTCACCTACAATAGTGTCTAATGTATTTTTGAGGATTGCAACATACTCATTAGTGTTCTTATGTATGGTATATAACACTAATATTACCATTGTCTTTGCACCAGCAATATTTGGTAGATTTCTGTGGAGATCAAAAGACAGCAAGCACTTTCCTCAGTATTCTAAATGTTTTTTTTGAAATGCTGTCATCAGGATGACTTCCATCCTCAATTCACTTGTTGGATGGTGTGATAGATTCCTTTTTTCTTTATTAAAACTGATTTTTCCTACATGTATAAACTGGTGGCATTCCCTGGAGACCAAATGACAGCAAGTCTATTTAATATTATCATACTTTGCTGAGTCTTCCAGCTCTTTGAGTAGTGGTCTTATCTGGATAGTTTTTGATGCTTCTCCAGATTATTATTATTATTATTATTATTATTATTATTATTGTTGTTGTTTTTGTACAAAAACAAAAAAAAAACACTAAGATCACACACATTCTAATTAGATAAAGCTCATCATAATGTTTGAGTTGAACTTGAGAATACAACTTTTTGTATTTCTTTAAGGCATGGACTACCAGGAACTCCTTCATTGAATCTATCAACCTTTTCCAATCAATCCAAGTGCTCCAACTACAACTGGAATTATTGATATCCTCATGTGCCACATTTTTTAGATTAATTATCATCATCACCGTTATTATTATTATTATTGGGTGGAAGAGAAACATGGCAAGAAAGTGATTTTGTGATACAAATATATGAATATACCCATCATAACACCCAGTCTGATAAGCATATGCACGACACATACATCACGTGATATGATGAGAGGTTTTTATTAAAAGAGCACATAACCCTGCAAGTGGAGCCCAGTTAGAAATCCTTTCAAATTTGGCAACTCAGGTCACTCAGACAGTTTCTCCTTGAAGATGTTCCAAAGTATCTAAACATGATTCTCAAGTTACCTTCAGAACTTTAAAAACAACCCTAACAGTACCTGGCCATGATGCTCTTCCGCTATACCTGCTCATGAACAGTGATAAACAGTTTATCAATCTCTAGTAGATATACACAACTGGTTATGATTAGTTTTTTTAGATTAGTTTAGTGACCAGCAAATCAGTGGTACTGAAAAAAAAATTTACTCTAGCCCATCTTAATTCACCAAGACATTTACCTATTAACATTTCCAATCAATTAAGATCAGAAGCCAAGACAGCTATGCCTGTTTTTTCATTGTTACATTAATTATTATTATTTTAAAAATATTATTTATTATTATTTTATTTTTAATTATTTTTATCCAGCATTTGTTTTCTAATCACATGCTTAGTCATAACCAATGACCTGTGTCATGGGTATGATGATAAACTACATCCGACAGCAAGGCCTGCAATCGGGTGTGGAACCACCTCTTAATTTCTGTTGTTCCTAGGTTCGCCCTAACCCAGAGTGGTAGCACCTGTTAGGGTTTCAGCTATGAGCAAATAGTTAACTCCCAAACTGGAGTCAAAACACTATGAAAATATAAAAAAATTTATAGTAAAAAATACCAGCAATACATTTTCACCATAAAAAAATTATGAGCCATAAATTTTAGTAAAAAAAAAAAAATAACAGTAATACAATGTTGTAAAAGAAATTACTAATGCTTCCAAGAAAATTAAATTTCAGCAATAAATGACCCATAAGGAGTTGATATGTTGCTAGACAGGCAAACAAAAAATATCCTAGGCAAGAATGTTGTTTTCACTTACTTGGACAAAATACAGCTATTAACAAAAAAGAAAAAAAATTAACTGAACAAAGCTCTTTGAAGGACAAGGGCTATGCTTGTTAGAACTATTTTTTTCTATTTGATAGTGCATAAGGGATTCTAATAATTTGTTCTTGAGTTCCTTTCTTAATCAGATCCAAAGCCTCAACCACAACAGGAATTTTAGTTTTAAGTACCACATTTATTTTTCTATTTTCCTCTCCAGGTCTTTGTATTTGCTTAATTTTTCCAAAACTTTTACAGAGATGTTTTTGTCACTTTGTATGCTCATGTCAATCAGTGTGAAAACCTTTTCTTTTCAGTCTTTGCTAATAATGTCTGAGTGATTTGTTTGTACTATTCCATACATGTAAGACAATTAAATCATGTCTCTACCTATGCTACCTGCACTGCTCTTTGACTGATACAGATGGTCAATATCTGCCATAGAGTGGTGCATTTTATTGCGTGTGAGTTGTTTCTGAATTTTTGTCTCAATTTTCTTGAGTTTCTTTAAGTTCCAAAGCTATAAGTTACAACCAGAATAACATGAATGTCAATAGCCATTATTATATTATTATTATGATGATGATCATTATCATTATTATCATTAGTAGTATTATTATTGTTTGTGTGTTATGTTTCGTGCTTTGTACCCTGTAGAGTCAGGTCCAAGCTATGGTTCTTAGTCCTTATAAGAGAATTGTCATTTAATTGATAGTACTTTTCTTAGTATATGTGATGTTACCAATAGGGTAATTTTCTGGTCAACTTGTGTGGTGATGTTACCTGGGATACTTTTAGTTAAAATTGTCCATTCCTTTTCTCATGAGGCCCAGATCTCCAATTACTATTCAGTCTCAGTTTTCATTCACCACATCCTGTTAATCTCAATCTCCAGGTCCTTGTATTAGGACAATTTCTCGATAATTTTTATGAAGATGTTTCTCTCAGATGGTACTGCTATGTCAATAAGCATACACTTCTTGAATTTCTTGTCTTTTATGATAATATCAAGTCTGTTGGCTTTTATTTCCCTGTCAGTTTGAATTGGCATGTCGCAGAAGATAGTTACATCATTATTTTGTGTAACTGTGTCTGGTTGGTGGTCATACCATCTCTCAGTGGTTTTGATTGTGCGCTTCTTGTGTCACTTCCAGTTTACATATATTGCTATCTTGTTAGGTCTCTGGGTATATTCATTTTTTGCCAGTTCTGGTCATCCTGACATAATATGGTCAGCAGTTTCATCATATTTTCTGATAGTGATGATTATTCTTCTTCTTCTTCTTCTGATGATGATGATGATCTTCTTGTTGCTTAGTGTCATCTCTTACAGGGTTATTACCTGATACACAGAATGAAGCAAAGTAGTAAATATATGCTTTCTGTTGGCACAAATTCTGATGTTAAGTGATACTTATACAATGTTTATATTTTCTTTATATCAATAATGCTCTCCTGTGTAGATGAGTAGTTCTGTAAAATACAGTTTTCTGAATCTCTTGTAAACAAGTGTTACCAGAAATTTTATTAATGTATTTGTCTATAACTTTCTTGATCATACCAAGTGTTCCAGTTATTATAGGTATGAAAGTAGTTTCAAGGTGCCACGTAATTTCAATTTTAAGATTCTTATATTTACTTAGTCATGTTCTATAACAAATATATTTTTATCTGATGACACTGCCTTATCTATATAAAGTCATTTGTTTTAATTTGTAATCTTTAACAACTATCTCTAGTCCTACAGCTTTTATATGTTGGTTTGTTGATTTTATTTAGCCGCATATCAAACTGTGGGTTATTTAAGCCTAAAATATAAATAATTTAAATGCAATTGTATGCCCTTAACCACAGATAAAATATATTGTTGGTCATTTTGCTATAAATAAGTATTGTTGTTTATTTTAATATGAATAGATATTGTTGATAATTTTTTTATATAAAAATGTATCACCGGTATTTTTACTATAAAAATGTATTTTTATACTGTCATAGTGTTTTATTTTTCATTGGGAGTTAACTATTTGTCCATAACTGGGGCCCTGACAGATACTACCACCCCGGGTCAGGGTGGACCTGGGAACAAAAGCAATTAAGAAGTGGTTCCATACTTCTCAAAACATTTAATCTCTCAGTCAGAGGCCTTGCTGCTAGATTTTTACATTTCTGTCAGTATGAATAGTAAAGTCCCAAAGAATAGGGACCTCTTAGATTTCTATGATTAATTCAGGCCAATGTTTGATATGTGATGCACTATAATACTAACATGTATTCCAATCAATATACTGCCTATCTTATCATGTCAATCTTTGTATTCCTTTGGTATCAGGTTTGAACAATCAGATATTTTTATTGTCATCATTATAATTATTATTATTAGCATGATACTTTCAATGCCATTATCCTTATCATGCTCATTATTAATTATTATTCTCCCCTTTATAAATTTTTCTCCCTCCTCATCATCATTTTAATTCTTTGTCATGATTGATGTTAATTTTTGTGGGGCTAGAAAAAATGGCTTCCCATTAGTTTTGTTAGTTAATTATCTCCCTTTCACTATCACCAGTGACAAGAAATCATCATTTTCATTTTTTTTTTTTTTTTCATTTCTTTTTTTTATCTAATATCAACTTTTGGTGTCAGGGATTAAAGTCTTGAAACTAAAAATGTGGGCTGAAGCAAAATGACAAAAATAAAAGCAAGAATTTTATTTTTAAAAGATTAAAATTTAAAATTTTCCTTTGAATTCATCTCTTTTTGTTTTTTAGTCTTGGTATTTCAGTTACCCTTCTTAGTTAAGTTTCCAAAATTTTCATTCAACAACACAAATTTGGCATTCATTCTTCATTATTTAAAAAGTAGTAATGATATAACCATCATCATTAACAACAATAACAGGAACATCTATAATAGTATATAGAAAAATATCTATAGAAAAATATCAATTTATGAAAGAATTGACACTGTCCAGATTATGGTGGTAGTAGTTTACTTGAGAATACTGCGAAAACTGATGGAAATTTGAAGAGACTTTGTATAATTTGGTCTTCTTCTACTGTGGCATTTTCCTTCATGACATGGGTCACCATGGTTCTTTCCAACTTACTATTCTTTATAACTATATATCACCTATCTCCTGAAGGTACATGGCACATAGATGTTTATGTTTGTCAAAGCTGATTCTGTCTCTTAAAATTTAAATATATTCTTTTTGTTTGTGATAGCAAACTCTCAAAAATTTACATTCTCAGTTTATTTATCCATGTATTAAGTAAAAAAAAAACAAAGAATATTTTGTTAATTTTTTTTCATACAAGAGAAGGAATGGTTGTTTTCAAAACTATGCAAGCACTTTTGATTATTATCTGGTCATCATCATGAAAATAATTATTTTTAATCATTTCACCCCAAACAAGGCAATCAACTTACCAAGAATGAGAGTGAAAGAATCTGAGAAAAAAAAAACATCAAGGAGAGTGGGACAATAAAAGAATGGGATTCAAGGAGACAGAAGATGATGTCTGATATTGTATTTAAATTTTTAAAGATTATAATTGAGAAGAAAGCAAGAAGCTAGTTGTTATATTTTTCAGGAGAAGATAAATGATGATGAATTCAAAATGACACTGTATTGAAATTTTGGTTTAAGAATTTTATATCAAATGATGTCATTGGAAAAGTCAGTAAAAACATTAGTTAAAATCTTTTGCCTTGTAAAATGAAGTTTGAAAAAATTCTTGAAAAATACATTGGGTACTGAAATTTTTTCTTTTGGGTCCACTTCCTGATCAAATAGAAATTTTGAGTTGTAAGGTTTTGTAATCAGGCAAAAAAAAATTTCAGATATTACTTGTATATCTAAGAGAAAAAGGATATATTTAACAAGTTTAGCTTCCTATGAAAATGGGGAGAGGAAGATGATGTTGCGTCAGCCTTCCAAGTGTGTAAAGCCTGTCCATTTGTTCTGAAAATCAGCATTCAACTGGTCTTAGACATTAAACAGTGACTAGTACACAATGTCAGTCATGATAATATGCTTATAGATTTTGTCAGGGAAATACTTCTTGGTTGGACTGAGAACTTACTTTTCAATAACCCATAGTGTATATATATATATATATATATATATATATATATATATATATAAATATATATATATAAAACACTAATAAACTTATAAATATAAGCAGCTATACTCGTCCGGCAAAATCTTAGGTGTTTTCGCTTGTGAATGAACAAACTAATACCCAAGGGAAAAAAAGGGTAAAAAAGAAAGAACTAAGAATATGTACTTCCAGCAAAAATAATCATCTAGAATCTAAGTTCAGAGTCCAAAGAAAAAACCTCCAGTCCGTCCTGACAATTTGCATAGGTGAAACCTAGGTAGGTTAGTCTGGCTCTTTAGGTTTATTTACTTACTTATAGATATATATATTAGTTCTTGCCACCTGATGATAATATTGTGATAAACTCAGAGTAGCAATTTGAAATGAGGCTCTTGTGTGGTATTATTAGTTAGGTTTACTGCTCGCTCCTAATTCTAGTCTACTTGATTTAGATAAAGAGCATTTTGAATTATTGCAGAAGTATGTATTTGTCTTTGCTGGTATGTCTTTTCTATTTATGTTTCTTTTTTTCTATTCTTTGTTGTTTTTTTTTTTTTTTATTTTCTTTGTTTATTGGTTCTCAATTTTTCCTTTTATTTTCTATCATTTCAAGAGTTTTCATTTGATAAGCTTTGTTTTGGTGGAGTTGCATTTTCAAGTTTTACCAATACTTTGATTTGTTTCATATTATATATATATATATATATATATATATATATATATATATATATAGCCACACTGAAGAGCTGTGATACAGTGAAACAGTCTGTCTTTGGATGACAATATATATATATATATATTTATATATAATTTAAAATTTGCATATTTAGGCAGAAAATTCTCTTTTAGCATGTCTGATTGAATAAATTACAGATATTATGTCAGCTAATTTTTAACAAAATCTTTTCATACCCACGAATAACCTTCCATGTATTGATGTTAAACGATGAGAGAAATGTGCTATAGCTGTTTAAATTTCTTTTATTTTTCATTTCCGAAGTATTTTCGATCTTTTTCCAAGATCATCTTCAGATGAATTTAGAGAGTTGACATCTAACACAAAAGATTATTAGAATTATAAAAAAAAATTATATTATAAATAAAAATTATCATATATTATTATTATGGCAGTCCATGGGAGAAGTTCCTTCCTTGCAAAATTGATAATGCGAAAACAGCACTTTTCAGCCCCCACTTCAAATTGTTAACCGCCCCCCATTTGAGGATGTGCCTCAGTTGCACCCAATTGTTGTTAGTAAAATGAATTTTTGGGTGGGCTGAATTTAAACTTGAACTGCTCCAATTGAATGGCAAAAATTCCCAGTAATGAAACACCTGGGTTATGTTGCTAGTAATATATATATATATATATATATATATATATAACTGAATAGGTAAATATAGGTATATGTGATCACGCACAAATACATATAAATACTCTATAGTATAAGAAAAAACAGTGCTCACTGCTAAGTAACAGAGCTATTTAATATAAATAATGTATATTTAATACATATATTGTATATTCTTTGATATATATATGTGGGAAATGGACAGTCACCCTGCAATATTGATTTTATATCCAAACTGTATCTGTTTCTCTTCCCAAATAAATACATCAAATTTTAAATATATATATATATATATATATATATATATATATATATATATATATATATATATATATATATATATATATATATACACACAGATAGATATTATTTCTTATTACTATAAATATTATTTTTAGTGTTTACATATGTTTGAGTTGATATCCCTGTTATTTTTATTTCTTAAATAGTGAAATTAATAAGAACCTGATCTGAGAAGTCCTACAAAAGATGAAGGGGCCTTCTGACAGGAATTTATAGAAGTGGTTTCCCTGACAGAAAAAGGGATCCAGTTTCAATTCTTATTGGTTGACATATTTTTCTTTAGTTTGAGTTTTTGATTTAGGCTGATTGCTATTCACTTAACCCTTTCAGAAAATAAAAAAAAACAGAATATCCACTCAAACATGTATATCCACTAGAAATAATGTTTATAGTAATAAGAAATATATATTGAGAGTGGCTTTATTCTACTAAAGCAAAATACATGCCTTACACTTGTATATGTATTCAAGTATATGTCTATATATATGTTACAGCATGCAGACATACATATTTACTGAATACATTTATATATATATATATATACACACTCTTTG